CAAGTCGTCCAGCCCTAATTCGCCAAGCTCCTAAGCATGACACCTACCATCTCGGCTGACACAGGTGGGCTAAATTTAGTGGTCTAGCACATCATCCTCTCCTCACCCTTCACCACCCTGAATAACGCAAGAACAATTCAAAACAGCCCTGGAATCATTTCCTGCTGCGGCTGAACTGTCTCACATCTCAGAAGCAACTGAAACTTAGCGAACCCTGATGCGGAATGAGAAGTGGTGGTGTTATGTTTTTATTTTTGCTCTGAAGAACAGCAACATTGCTTGGCTTTGTTGTGATTGAAATACACAAATACACTCAAAACGTTAAAGTCCTTCTGTTCCTCCCCCCCCCCCCAAAATGGGTGCGTCGCTTTTCCACCAGACGAAGGGCAAATCTCAGGTTCCCACAGAGAGGCCCCGGCGGTTCAGTGCAGACCCGGACATGTTTCGGCACAGCCCTGGTTCGCTCCCTTCTCTTGAACGGGAGCTTGCAAAGCAAACGTTGCAACAGCAAGAACAAACGCTGAAAAAGTCTCCCTAACCCAAACACACACCTGGGAGGCCTCAGGCGGACAGCCTGCTGTGCTAGAGCTAGCACACAGGTATTGCTGACCCTCCAACGCTGCAAGGTCAAAGGCTGTAAAACCATTCCAGGCTCATCTGCTGATACCCGGACACCTTGCGAGCGTTGTCTTTTGTGTCACTTATTTGTAGAGCATCTACCTATCGCTGTCACTTTGCCAGCGCTTAGAAGTCTTGCTTTTACTCTAGACGCGGAGAGTGTAGCAGGAGAAAGGCAGAGAGGCTAGAGAGTGACTCACTGTATTACCTGAGAGGGTTTTAAAGCTCAGGATCCATGCTGCGAGGGAATTATTGCCCTGTAACAGGCACAGAATTAAAAGCCCACGCTGCTTCGCTAAACACCGGGTCGATACACAGAAGAGTACTGGGTTAAAGAAAAAGTTTCTCTTTCAAATCAATTTTGTTAAACCAGGACAGTCTCCGTTTGAGCCACCCTAGATCAATTCAATCCTCATTTACATTTACTCAATTTAATCATCGATTGATGATTAATTAAGCCAAGGTTAAGTGTGACACGAGTTCTTGCAAACTTGTTTCCAAATGAGTTGTTAGGCCTTGCCTACAGGGCAAAGCTACAAGGCTAAATCACTTTCTAACCTGTGCAGTTACACCAACGTAAGCCCCCGTGTGAACGCTTATTTTTCAATTTAACTTATTTGAGCTCCACTTAAACTTGTTCTTAGTTAGCTAGAGATACACGGGAAAGAGCAGAGATTTCTACTCTTTGGGGGGAACTCTTAACTCGTTTACGTACACCAGGTTAAGCAGCACTCCTGACGCTGGCGCGACCCTCCCTGCACCAGCCAGGCACCCCGCGTTCGCGCGCGCCTCGAGCGCTGTCAGCCCCGCTCCTGCCGAGCTCCTGGCTCCCTCAGCTCCTGCACGCTGGCGGGGAAGTCCAGTTTTCACCACGCAGGCTCCAAAAAGCCACAGCGGTGGACGTCAGCACCACGGTGCGCTGCAGGCACAACCGGGCAGGTTTAGGGCTGCGCGCTAGCAAACTGCGGTGACCTGATGAGATTCCAGCTCTTTTTGCTAGCAGAAACATTAGAAGTCCCATTGGCCTCCAATACCAGCAGAAACACTTGCTATTCTGAATTAAGATCAGCAATTTGATTTCCTAGGAAATACTAAATCAGCTGTATGTTTTGTTTGGACTCGCAAAGGAGAGGCCCTACCAAGATAATAGGGAAAAGCGGGGAGGAGGAAGAGAGAAAATTAGGAAGGGGAAAAAGTGAGCATTTTGCCTTATTATTTTTTCCGTATTCCACCCGCTAACTCTGTTTTCACAGCTCGCTCCGTAATCTTGACAACTCTCAAGGCAAGTCGGGCAAGCGGGGACAGCGCTGGAATGCAGCAATAACCAAAAAAAGATTGTTTTATCGGCGAGAATTATCAGGTTGTCAGCTGGGAGCTGCAAGAGTCATAATGAGAAAGCAGAAACACAAAGTGGTGTCCCTGCCCTCTGAAAATGTCCATTAAGCAGAGACTTCATTTGGTAATTGCTGTTGGAAATGAAGCCATTTTGAGTTTTTTTGTTTCTTGATTTGTTTTAGAGAGCAGCTGACGGCCACAGAAAATTAGAGTGAGAACATGGCATATGTCCCCTGCCTTTTCCTTCCCTCTGTTTGCTGAATGTGAAAAATTCTTACTTGAAAGTATTTTTTGTCCAAGGCTTCATCTCTGCTACAAACATCACCGGCTCAGTTTCAGCCACAGCAGAGGGAAAAAGAGGGTAAGGACCTTAAGAGCATTACCTGGTCCAGTCCCTGCTCCACAGCAGGATCATCTCTCCGTAAATCGCAGATGAAAAAAAATAAAACACTACTGAAGGCAGAGCTCAACTAGCTTTCAAATCAGCTTAAAGCCTGATTACTGGGTTTAACTGGGTTTGGAAGATCAGAGCCCCGACCACATTACCGCTTTTAGCCGTCTGATGTCTTAATGTAAAAGGAATAAGTAATTTGCAGAAAAGTTTTAAGGGAGAAAAGATGCTTGACAGAAAATAACTGAGAACAGGAAGACTGGGAGAGGAGGACTCACGAATGCAGGCTGAACGGTTTCAGCTAAAAGAATAGGGGCTGAAGCTCTTCAGTTTGGTATTTTTCATACAAACTTTTACAACATTATCACAAAACGGTGCTTTGGTTTCAGAACAGGGTTAATTGACTCCAAGGACAGAATGAAACAAATATTTCACTGGTCGCCAGAGAGGTCGCGTGTCAACCAGAACCTGTACTTTCCAGAGGTTTCCTATTTCCCCCGCCCCCAAATAGACCATTAACCAGAAAAATCCACTTTTAACTGTAACCCACTTTCCCAAACCCAAATTCTCACACAGACTGGAATTAAGATGAGACCACCTGTGACTAAGCCAACAAATAAGGCTCTGGGCACATCGCGCCTTCCCAGGCAGCAAAGGCAGCTCACTGGGAGCAGCTTTTCTTCGCAGCTATCTCCAAGCTTCGTCTGAGACCAGCAGGGTCGGGGATTACAAGAAAGGGAAAATCTCGGGTTAGCAGGGACGTTTCCATATGGTTAAGCAGCAATTAGTAGAGTTTAGCAGTCGTGGCGTTATTGGATATTATTAGGCTGTGGAGCCCACCCTAAATGGGATGGCCAGTTCTCCCCCTCCACTGGGCACGCGGCAGACAGCAGGCTCATGGCAGCAGTTAGCAAAGGTGTGGGGCAGATGGCATTTTAGGAAACAGAGGAGGATACCATGGCAGGAGACAGCGGTAGCTGAAAGCCTGAGGCCAGGTGTATCAAGTCTCTCAAAGAAACCACACTAGTCTGCTGCAATCCTGGGAGATCCCCGTTTCCAGGCTCCAGGCATCTCCAGTAAAGTTGACGTGGGCTGGGCGAATGCGGCAGTCCTCCTGTCCACGACTAGCCATCATCCACCCACGATCTCACTACCACCTCCTGTAGCGCCTTCCCGCTATGCAAAGCAGACTCAGGTTCTAGTTTTTGCAAGCATCTGCCTGCCCCATGGCAGCAATCGCTAATGCCAGGGAGATGCAGCAGCTTGTACAAAACCCCCCACGCTGCGCTCCTGGAAACGTGGTCCTGTGCTATTCCCACTCCCAGTTTCTCCCTTTTCAAGAATAAAGACTTGGGGAAACTTTCACAGAAAGATATAACCCAACCGATGGTTAGATTCCTGCAAGCGTCACTGGGAGTCGCTGGGCACCAACTCTGCCCCCCAAGAGTATTCACGTGAGCGTCTTCTGCTATTCATCTAATAGAGGAGATGCACCAAGCAGATGCAAATATTAGGACTCTGAATGTCTTTTTTTTTTTTTTTTTAAACAAAGCAAATGGATATGTAAATAAGATGCTAACAATGCCTCTTGGCCACATTCCAACATGACGGCAAAGCCCTGTCTGTGCTCTCAAGCTGCCCTTCTGCTGAATGCAGATTGTCAGCAGCGGGTCAATCTGCTATTGTAGATGGGGCTTTGGTGTCAGAGACGGTGCGAGAGGCTCTCGATCTCCGAGTCTCATCTTCTCCCGGCTGCTGGCTCTGCTTCGCTCCCTGAGGAGCTATTTACCCTGTCAGACCACTGCCTGACCCGCTTTCTGGCCCAGTGTGCTGAAGGAAGTCTCTCTAAAACAAAAGCAGGGGGCACTTCCTGCAGCTATTGAAAACCTGAATGCCAGGAACAAAATGGGAGAATAAAGGATCTACTGAAGACAGCAAGCAGGCAGTAATGCTAACCCTGCTTTCAAAAATCACAAGCAGGACCCTTAAGAAGTCACAAGCACGTCAAAAAAGTGCAAGAAAAAAGGAAAAAAGAGAAAGCCACTTTAGAATTCTTTATATTTCCTTAATGGATTTTGCACCTGT